GTGAGTGAGTGAGTGAGTGAGCGTGAGTGAGTGAGTGAGTGAGTGAGTGAGTGAGCGTGAGTGAGTGAGTGAGTGAGTGAGTGAGCGTGAGTGAGTGACTGAGTGAGTGAGCGAGCGAGCGAGCGAGTGAGTGGAGGAGGGAGCGAGGAGGACGGAGGGAAGGAAGGAAGGAAGGAAGGGCGGATGCGGGCGAGATGGCAGCCAACAAAACTAGAACCCCACACAGAGATGTGGGGAAAAAGATATCTTTCGCGGATCTTTCGCGGCCTCATCGCGAAGCATGGTCCTACAACCATGTCTAGCCAACAGGAGCCGGAACATGTCATAGTATCACAAAATAGGGAGAGACATCTTGCAGCATGACCCCAGTAGATGGTTGAACGTTTCCACAGCTACTCAGGGTCACTTGCAGCATCTGTTCGACAATTGTGCCAAATAGAGTCAGGCACAACTCAGCCCAATCCTCGTGCCAGCTACCAACACAGGGTGATACAGCTTGGGGAATGTTGGGGGGCCTCAAGCTGGGAACCTAGACTTTAGCGGCACATTCGCGAAACTTTCGCGGATCTTTCGCGAAATTTCACTGGTGCTTTCCCCGGGAAGCCGTAACATTTGCAAACATCTGCGCAGCCCGTCAGAGCAGCTGCAGGTCGTTGCCTCACTGTCAGGGCTGTGCCTACCCAGATTGCTAGCCTGTGACAGTGGGGACAGGAATCGGAGAATCCTTTACGCACTGCCAGGGCTCGGCACGGAAATGTTGAGGCTTCAGTTCGTTAGTCTGTGACATATGGGGACACTTCCGCCCACTGGCTCTGCCGGAGGATTGCCTTGCGTTTCTATTCTTTGTCAGTCCGGTAGAAAGGAAAACAATGAAAGCGATGACCTTCGATAAATCTTTCGCGGAAAAAAAAGATACTTTCGCGAACCTCATCGCGAATCTTTCGCGGATGGTTCTAACAACATCTGAAAGGCTGTTTTATATAAAACTCCTTACACGGGGTTTTCGATCAACTCCCATATATTTATATTGTATTATATCGATATATCAAGGGTCCGTCTCCCGTCTCCACCATCTCGGTCTTTCAGCTCTTTCAAAAACGGATCCTGAGATCTTTCGGCTCCGGCGCCGTTCTTTCGTGCCACGCGTCCACGCGGCTCCCGTCGCCTTCGGTTTGGCACTGAGCAGCTTGTCGATCCCACGAGCCGCGAGCCTCGGAGAGCGGGAGCGTTGAGGGGCCTGGGCAAGTCGGTATGAGGTAGTATAAAGTGGAATGTAAGCAGTACGGTGTGGCCAATCGCAGTTTTGAGGGATTCACGAGTTCTGATCCCGCTGGGCAAAGGAGATGAATGAACAAATTTAATGTTGGGACACACAAAATTAGATGTTGGGAGTAAGCACCAAGGAGGGTCGCAGGGATAGCAGGGTATGACCCGGTGCGACGACAAGAGAGAAAACTATATAAATGCGTGTTGGGCACACCCAGACGTGGTCATGGCGAAGTAGAATCTCAACGTCAGCCTATCAAAGCCGCTTGAATTTGAAAATCGTCAAAAATGCAGTTTGCCACCGTGGTCATTGCTCCTTCGGTGAGTCATAGCCAACATAGGGAAAGGTTCACGTGGTCCCATTCAGATGTTTCTGCTCTCGTCACTCCCCGTTGGCTGAGAGGCCCGGCAACTCTTGGTCGCGGTCGACGATCTCTGGGTGAAAGCTAGCTAGCTCACAGTAGACGTAGCTTTGCAACAGCTGAGCAGCGAGTGGCGCGGCTGGGAGACAAGCATTGCTCGGAGTTTGGAGCTTCAAGGGCTCCGAATCACCATCGACATCATCAAGCTTTGGCTGACAAATCCATCGCTGAACTGCTGACCAAACATTAGACAATGACATCTTAGAATCCAACTCTAAACCAACTCGGGTTGTTGGCTTGTCGGAAAAATGAGGATGTTGGCTTGTTCAGGACTTCATGTCATTCATGTCTGTCAATTCTTGGGGGTCTGGGGAACCGAGTTGACCCAAGTCTTGGCCCAGCAAATCCGAACGTCGAAAAACAACGACACAAACGCCCATGACACGACAGGCGCACCGGTTTGGTGGGCTCAAAGTTGTCAAAGCTCCAATCAATCTTCTTGCTACCTCGTAGGTTGAAGGACCAGCGCTGCCCAAAAACGGGGGGCCTGGGTGTATATTGAAGCAGGGTGACCCGACCCAAGGCCTTAAACTGAAACACTGCTTGGGAGTCTGCTTCCTCAAGTTGGAGGATTCCCGGCCATCAGGGCTCACAAGTTGAACGATGATAGGGGGGACTTAGATAGAAACTGGATGATTCTTCTGGAAACAAAAAATGTCGGACATTAAGGAGAGAACGAAACATCCAGGAAAAAGCACAGTTTCTTGGTCTTAAAGGCTCTTCCAAATTGGGCAAGGGCGGAATTAATCCCAAGGTCCCAAGGCTCTCCAGGTCTGTCAGCAAGCTTGAAAATTCCAGGCAGAGCGGGTGAAAACCGACAGGCGGGTTCACCATGTGTCCGGGGATGCAAAGAACTCTGGGGCAAGCATACCAGTTTGTACCTTGACATGTTGTCTTGCCTATGAGGTTTGCCTTGTGTCTCTGTAGTTACATATGTGCATTGGACGATGATAACCATGAAGTTTACATCTTTGTGTTCAGAAACTCTTTCTTCCCCCAAAAAAGTGGTGCCCCCCTGTGCTTGAGACCCCAGCAAGTATCATGGACCATGTCCTCCTCGTCAAACAGGTGATCAAAATACCTCAACGGCGCCAACGGCCGGACGTCCTTCCGCGCTTCGTGTGAAGGTCCCGGTCCCAAAGGTCCGCAATGATTCTTCACAGGAGGGATTTCTTCAAGAAAACCATGGTTTCCAAGTTTTCTTGTGAGCGGTCTATGCTGGTTCGTGTCTTCATAACGCTCACAAGAGAACTTGAAGGATGCTCACAAGACTTGAATCTTTCGTGATGAAGGCAAAAAATCACAACGCTTGCCTTCATCAACGCTTGCACCCCGGTGTGGTTCTTGTGCATGCCATCTTCAGACACGACCCGGACCCGGGAATTGCTAAGGAGCCCTACTTGAGCCGCAGAGTGTCGGCCACACTGATGCGAACGGTTGGGTCGAAGGTCACCATGCGGCACACCACCTGCAGCCGTCACTCGCCAGTGCCAGCGCCGTCGCCAGTGTTTGTTCGTCTGACAAAGGAGGGGACGCAAATTGATTGCACACAGGTGAAGCCAATGGACGCTCCCTACCAGCCAATCGACGCTCCCTATCGGGTGCAAAGGATGGGCACTCTCGTCTGAATGAGCGGCTGTTGCCGGAGGTCTAGGAACGATGTTCTCACTAGACTGGGTGAGCAAGTGAGCGTTCAAGTGAGTTTCAGTACACTGATAAGCACATCCCACTGCCCAGAGTGCAGCCTCAATTGCATTGTCACTGGCCGTGGGAAGGGCTTGCTTCCAATTAACCTTGAAAGACAAGGCCCAGCGAGACCCGGGGGAAGTTCAACAAAGTCATGACACGTGTCTCGACTTTGGTGAACATCCGACTTTCATGCAAGTTCCAAGCAAGACGTGAACGGCAGTACAACCCAAAATTGCAACTACAGTATATGATGCAACTATATGCAACTCTAGTACAGTATGTGGGAGAGCCCCCAGACTGGCTTCCAAATCTGGGCATCAAACCCTACAATGCCCCCGTCGTCGGATTGCTCAGCCCTTCACCTTGGGCGCGCTGGGGCACTTCACCAGGAAGGACCGAGCAGTGCCCCCTTCCGGCAGCCATTTGGTTTCCGCCTGGAGCGGGAGAATCCGAGAGAATCCAAGAGAATCTCCAGTGCCTGCTGTGCCGAATCTGTGGATTTGATTACAAGAATCTCCCACTGCAAGAAGATATCGAAATAATAAATAAAAATAACAACCGCTCCCCAATCCCCAAGACTTCCAAAAAGCAGCCGTCGTGTTTACCGGCGTTCGCTTCCCAGCTGCCCGCACCGCAAAAACAAGAACGATCTGCGCCTCCGTGGGCGTGCCCAAGGTGGCAATGATCTTCCGGATCTGATCCACGTGGTCGTTCCCTGCGGGCCCGTTTTCTGTGCGGGCGGACCCACCGTGTTTGTTTCGGTCGGTAACCCCCACGAGAGAAAACCGCCGGGTGAAGGGGGTGAGGGTGGAGAAACGAACGTCGGAGGTGGAAGATGTTGAAGGCCGGAGAATGGAGATCCATGGAGATCCTAAGCATTGCTGTCCCTCCGCTCAGAGGAGGCACTATGGCCAACACGATGAACAACTTAGGCAGGAGGAAAACGGTCGTTTCATCATTGCATCTGCAAGGCAATGTTCATAATGTTCCATGTCCGTCAATGTCCATGTCATGTCAGTTTGTGGGAGGGACCAGTAGCCCAAATTTCCAAGACCATGTTAGCCGTGGTTGTTCATCCGTCTTCTTCATCCACTGGGCCTTGAGCTGGCGTGCGGTTGGGGGTACGGGTCAAGGCAAGAAATCACTTCAGTAGTCGGCCTCTTTATGCCGGTCTTGACATAGTTGACCCACAAACCCTTCTTTCAGGTTTCGCAAACGTAAAAGCTTCATCTGCGTAAATCACGGATGTCGAAAGACTGGTATTTGACTAGTGTACTTTATTTTGGGGGGCCGCTCCCCCCTCCCTACTTAATTAAGGAATAAAGATGTAGCTACCACCTGCAAGTAGCTACTACTTAGGACGCAGGATAGCTCGCACTAATGATTCGGTTCGTAGACTTTTAGGGAAACTTAAGGTTCCACAGTAACAAGGAAGCTACTAGAAACAAATGGCATCGCTACTAGGAGCAAAAGAAGCTACTGGTAACAAGGTGCATCGCTAGTAGTAACAAGAAGCCACTAGTAACAAGGCGCATCGCTAGTAGTAACAAGAAGCTACTAGTAGCTCATGGCATTACTACTAGTAACATAGTCCATGTTCACTTCCAGCTCCTCGTGTTAATCACCGAGGCATTGGCGGCACACCGCCTCTCAACTCTACAATAGACCAGCGCGTTGAGACCGGTGCCTGCAAACAGCGGCCGGCGCATGATCAGCTCACAGAGGATGCATCCAACGGCCTCATCGGCGGCCGGTGGAACCACGGCCCCGGGCAGCGTTCGATGACTCGCTACAGAGCAGTTGCCATCCCGGCAGAACTGCTGATGCGAATGGAATTGATTCTTCGGGATCAATGACAATGAAATTGGCTTTTGATGTCAGCCAGATGGCATTCAACACTACCTTTCAGGCCCCAGCCCACACATCGATGGCCACAGTGTACTCTGCAGAATGAAGCATGACCTCTCAGAGATACCAACGCTGCGGCGTTGTGTGCGGTTAGGACGTGTGAACGCACCTTCCGCCCGAATGGAAATCACTCATCCAAATCTCGAATCAACGTAAAAGGTCGAAGTCATCCGCTTCTGACCTTCCGCGTCCGGAGCACGCCCACCTCCGGAGCACGGTACCAACGCGTCACCACATAGTCGGTGCGCCCCAGCGCATCCTCGGACTCGGTCGCCAGGACCCTGGAGAGGCCGAAGTCGCAAATCTTCAAGTCGCAGTTCTTGTTCACCTCGGCCAAGGACGAAGCAACGAAGCCAGGAGAGAAGAGGACGAATCCACGAAAAGGACCGAGAACAGGACGAGCTGGGAAGCCCGGCAAAGCCAAGGGGTCGGAAAAATCCGGTTGTTTGGAGGTAGGGCCCTTTGTTTTCCTCCTGAGAGTCGGGTCATTTAGCGTCAACAATCTGGGACGCTTCGAGGCATCTGCCTTTCACATGATTTGTCACATGAGAAAACCCTTGATGAGCGCACTTCTGTGGAGAAGGGGTGGGTCACGGATGGGTCCATTCCTTCGATTCCGTTCGATGAGAAACCCACACCAGATGCCTGAGGGCCACACAAGTAGATTCGAAGGCTTGATGTCTCGATGCCTGAGGTTTGGTGTTATATAATACAGAGGCCATCGCTAGTCGGTTGGAGGCCATCCCGCTATTCGATTGGATTGAAAACGACTCCTTGTTGGAGCATTCCTTGTTGGTCGAGCCACCCCCACTTCATCTGACACAACCACGGAGCCCACGGAGAAGTGCGTTTTTCATGTTGTGAGGGATGTTTCATTTTGCTGTTCAGGGTTCAGGGATGAAGAGTAACCACATGGGTTCTCTCGATTCATTTTGCCCAAGACTTCTGAAAGACAAACCATGAGCCGCGCAGTACCTTTTCTCAGGTCAGTACACGATGTTTGCACTGTGCAAGTACGCGAGGCCTGATTCAAGCCAACAAACTCAGAAATAAACAAGAACTGTCGAAATCCTTTTGATGGCAATTTCCTGCCACCTACTTCTGAAAGGAAGTCTTGGAATTTGCGGGCGAAACCCATCATGGAAGACCACGATCAAAGCTGTGAAATCTGAGGTTGAGACCCCGCAAGACTTGATGGACAAAGTACTGATGATGTTCCTCCACAAATGTCGGGTTGGGACATCAGGTCATCAGGTTATACCTCTTCTTGTTGTTGCATTGGGGTTTAGAAAAACATGCCAAAAGACCACTTACTTGGCTGCAAGAAAGGTCTTACTAGCAGCTTCACCAACCAAATCGAGCAATGTTTGGCTGCCTGGCCAGGTGGCCTGCTGATCTTTACTCAGCCAGGAGGTTACTCAGCCAGATCTGCTGCCAGATCTGCTAAGCAGGGGCAAGCCTCTGTCAAGGGCTGCTTGGAGTAGATCACCCGATGCAAATCCTCAGGTTTTGCAAACATCTGTCACCCAAAATGACCACAGAACACGGGAATACTGAATCTTGGGTCAGGAACCAAACCAGGAATACTCAGAAGTACTCAGAATACTTAGCAATACTCAGAAATGTTACTGGTTCGGGAATACTCTGGAACCAACCAGCTTCGCTTCTCGATTTATTGACCCAGAATCTGGGTTTAATGATTGCAGAACAAAGATTCGACAACTGAAATCATCGAATTCCACAGTCATATCTAGCTATGGTTTGCCGCAGTAGGGCAATTGTCATATGTGAAGTGCGAAACATCCCAAACACTTGTCCATGCCGTCTTGCGGTGATCACTGTTGGGTTCCAGTCTCTCTTCATGGGAAAGTCATGGAAAAATCCCTTCCATTCTCAGCCAAAGAACAGTCTCCATGAGATCAGTGACAATGTAGATATCCTGCAGCTCCCGGCACTTTCTTGAGTCCATGAACTGAGTTTCTCGCTGAATCTTCATCTGATTGGAATCTTTCTCCGCGAAATCGCTCCATGGACTCGTTTCCTCGTCCCAAAAACCGACCGGTTCCACCAGAGTGAATTGTTGTTCTGCTCGGCCTCGAAGTCAGGCCCCGCAGGCGGATACATGTCAAGGATCCGAATGATGTTATCCTCCAGAGAGGGGCGACTGTGGAAGTCATAGGCGTTTCAACCACGCGCTTCAACCACGCTGGTTTTAGGCCCGTTGTCTCAATGATCTCAGAGATTCCTGAGAAAATGTGCTGGCAAGGAGATCTGGATTATCAAATCATGGTGGGTTTCCAAACATAGCAATAGGCTTATTTAGGTTTACTGGGACAGTAGCGCCACAAGCAACGTCCTTTTCCAAGGATCTTTATATGCGGTTGTGGGTCAAAACCCCGTACTGCTGATGGATCCCGCCATCAGAATGTAGTCTTCCTGAAGTGTTAAGCGAATTTCACTTACCAGTTTTGGTCTGCTCTTGGCCGATACCCATGGTTGCTTTGCTGAGTGGGATCAGACGTCTCCATTCTCAGCACCCACATCCCCACGACATGCGCCAAAACGATGAAAGCGTGAATACAACCTACGTTCGTAGCGTCCTCTTGTTCCGTTCGTAGTAAGGCCAGGAGCCCCGTTCGTAGCGTCCGAACGCTCCGTTCGTAGCGATGCCAGGAGCCCCGTTCGTAGCTTCTTGTTGCTGTGAGAAGCATTACAACCTGTGTCATTGCTCTCCTGGAGCAAATGTCCTTTCACATGAGCACATCAGCATATCTCAAAGTCCTCCACACATCCCCGCTACTTCTACGCGCAGAACGAAAGACTAAGCCGTCCGACATGATCCAGTTGCCTCAGGAGCTTGACCTAGCAGATGTCGATCAGAATCAGAAATGTACTTACTCTGCAATTGCAAATAATAGAGCAACAACCTAGAAGAAGCTTTGATCGTGTAGGACGGTAGACCCGGAGACATGGTGAAAGTGGGAGAGCAAAGAAGCGGATGGCATAATTGAGACGAGGTTTGAAGGAGAAGTTGCAATCAATTGAAAAGCCGGCTGTTTTCCGCATGTCTTTCAAAAGCGAGTCTTTCATGCCGAAGTGGTCTTAGTCTTGAGTTTTGATTGGGTGGTCAAATTGCCAACGGGATAAGTACTTTTCCAGTTGCAAAGCGATCAAATCAACCTAAGAGCGATGGCCTCCAACCACATAGCGATGGCCTCCAACCTACTACCCTATGAAACCCTTTCTGCGATCAGAAACCTGATCCTGTCCACTCAGCTCCACTTTTCGCCTCACGCAGAATCCGCTTCCCATCCACCTGGGATCAGAACAAGAGATACCCTCCCTCAAACCGTCTCACCCCTCAGCAAGATCACAACCTTTTCACAGCACAGGGTTGGGAGACGAGAAGTTACCTCTATGATGTGCTTAGCCATGTGCTTACATGGCACTCTAGTTGCATAGTTTGGTAGAGTGCACTGGTGGCCGGTGAAAATCCAGCAACATCAAGGACATGCTTTGGGGATAGCCGGGATAGCTCAACTGTAAGCACTCAAGGACAGGATTGTGTTTTTTTCTTTTTGTCGACAGTGGTGAAGGGATTTGTCCATCTAGAGGATCACCAAGTCATCCTCTTCAAAAGATCTCCTGTCAAATTCTAAGGGTCGCATGAGAACTCCGTCGGTTTTCGTCTTTACCCATGCAGCCGATGTAGTTTTTGTTCAGGGCGCAGAGACTTCTCCCACACACCCGTGCAACGAGAAGTCCACTTCTCGGATCACCTCTCTCAACCGAATCTTCTGGACCAAGTCAAGTGCCTGTAGCTTCCCAGGGTTTCTTCCTTTTCGTTTTTCTTTGTTTCTAAGAGCGATGGCCTCCAACATACTGGCCTCCACGATTGCTGTCTCGAGGTGACAATTGTTCACACAAAAAAGAAAGCCCGTAGATATGGATCTGATTGAAATCACTTGGGGAGAATTATCTAGAGCAATGGCCTCTGCGGAGGGACGCTATATATATATATTATAAAGTATATCATATAAGTATATTGAAACTTGCATCAGTCCGGCTCAGGCTCGTGCCAGGTCATCAAAAGCGTTGGTGATCTTCTTGACCTCGCATGCCATGGAGGTAAACCGTAGACCTCGTGTGCCTAACACCCTGGTCATTGTGGAGCATCTCTTGATCGAACATGCCCCGAAAACGGGCCGAACAGAAACATGAAGTGTCAGGAACCTCAAGAGTTATTGGTGATCTGTTACTAGTGGTACTTCATGAGTCATGGAGAACAAAACCATTCCGATTGCAGGGCTATCAACATACTAGTACCTCCGTGTCATCACCCGTGTCATCACCCCACGTGGGGAAACAGGGCTCTGCACCCAATGGACTGCTACCGCAGGGCCTTTCCAGGCTACGACTGGCCATCAGAAAGCTGTGGCCGTGATGACCCCCGTGCAGTGGCCGCGATGCAGCGACCATTGCGGTGCGATACGGGTGATTAAGCTCACAAACATGTTAACATTTCAGAGAGGAATTACCCAGCACATTTTGGGACAATGGAAAGCTACCTACTGGTAGGATGGAATGTTGTGGTACCCTTACACTTGAAGAGACAAAATCACCATGGAACTGGAGGTTTTAAACCCAGCGCCAGGGTTCTTTGACACCTCATGCAGCAAAGCTATCACTCAAAACAATTGCGTGAGAAAAAACACGTGTAGTGGCTGGACATGCAGGCAAGTTTTGAGGTCTACACCGCCATTGTCTCTCCGCTCCTTTTATCCTCAGCCAGTCAAATCAGTTGAGTGAAGCATGCTTTTGAGTGTCCACAGCATCATGTGAAGTTCGAAGGCTTTGAACGAGTTGCTTCAGAATGTTTCAGAAGCAACTCGTTCAGCATGCGTGCCTTGAAGGAGGCCACACAGCCATAGGCTCCGGAACCTTTGAATGGAAGAAAGTGCAAAGAAATTGAAGGTTCTCTAGTTCTTCTAATATCGGGCTCAGCAAGTCTGGTTAGCAATCTGGAGAAAAAAAGCCATGTGCCAGCTTCAAGACGCGGATTCTTCGATCATGCTGAGTTCGCGGCCCACTTTCTTCAAAAGTTCAAGATGCTTTGGGACGCGGAAGGTCGACTTCCCATCCTGACGTGCACGAAACCCCCCGACCGATGCACGCAACAGATGCGGGGTCCATGGTACTTGTCGAGTCAAGGCCCAAATCGCCGCATGATCCGACGTATCAACATACACTCTCTGATCTCAGGCGTCTTCTGGCAACCAAGAGTGCCTACCACAAGCAAGTACTCCTTTTTGCAGATCACTTCTGACCAATCAACCTGCACTTCAGCAAGTTTACGATGCAGCTCACCACGCGAGGCATTCAATGCGCAGAGACTCTTGTCATCTTCCAATGCCCAGCTTTGGCCATGTCTTCTCTCCAGCTCAGGAAAGCGTTGCGATTCCAAGTAGAGAAGTTCCGTTGGAAGACACAACTCCAGACCTAGGTGTGGTCTAGAGTCTAGAGTCTAGAAACCAGAGCAAAAGCCAACGAGAATAGTTAGCAAGACCATGTCATGTGCGCTGCAAGACCCCGATCTATTTGTTTCGACCCTTTTGAACGTTACCAATCCATCCCACCTGCTCCATGGTAGACTGCCAACGCACGGCCCAGGAACTGCAGGGCGTCATCGGCGCAGCAGCTTCCAGCGACCTTCACCAGCACAAATTCCTTTTGGAAAGACATCCTCAGCGCTGTTTTTAGGCGGTTGACATCTCTTGACCACTTGCAAAAAGGAGGATGAAGCGAACTATGCATTATACGGAGAGAGTAGGGGCCATTTTGCATGCCAGCTGCGCTGTCAGCCCTACCTTTGAGACTTACACCTTGCACCCATTCCAAAGCTCCCAGTTGGTCCAACAACTGATGCTACCATATGCTACCTGCTGCTTTCCAAACCCTGCCTTTCGATCATCTTCATCTGGAGATCTTCCAGCTCCGCTTCCTTCTGCACCTGGTTCAAGCTCTGCTTGAAGCTCCGATAAATCTTCTGCCGTTCGGTAAAGTCTTCCAACTCCTCATGACACAAGGCCTCGAAGGGAAGCAAGTAAGCAAAGTGCTGGATGACTAGACTTTCCGGCCAGTCTGAAGCCATTGCTTTACCTCAGATTTCAGAAAGGCCAAATCTTATAAATCTGAAGGAATTCAAGCTAAAAGAAGGCGGGGGTGTCCTTTATAGTGACGGACAAACTCTTAGAACATTGCTTTTCCAAATGTGAAAAGCGGGATGCGGACCTTTTCGATGTAATCTCGGGCCTATACATTTGCGGTTTGTGCGTGTCATCCTTATGCAGTTCATGCATGAGTGGATGTCCTTATGTCTCCTGCATACATTCTATCACGCCCTCTCCACTCAAGCATTTGCTGCAAATGGATGTACCCTCTGCCTGTGCAAAATGTGGGCAGTTAGGGCTGAAGTGGATTTTGAAGCGGTTTCCCTTGACTGTCCTGTACATCAGTCTCTCGCGCATCAGTCTCTGACCATGTTGGTCTGAAATTTGAAATTGTCGGAAAATGTCGTTCCGCTGCTGCCTGAGGTCTTTTGCTTGCTCTTCCAACTCAATCACATACTCTTCCAGTCGAATCACCTCGGCTTGCAGCTCTTCTGTTTGTTTCTTGTAGTTCTGGATCACTTCGGTTTCTAGCCATTCCGTGGCTTGGATGCACTTCTCTTCCATCGTCTTTTCTTCATCCTCCTTGTAGTTCACATACTCCTTGATCATGGTCTTGATGACCTCATTCATGAAGTCCAAGCACTTCTTCAGTGCATGCTGCACAAGACCATGCCGCAGCCAATGCACCAAGCTCAAGGCCCCGATCAAAGCCAGTGAACAAAATGCCCACCAACTCCATTCTCCTTCCATTTCATCATCCTTTCCATTCACTTTTGAACCTGCCGCCATTTCCATATTGGCCATCATCATCAGCAGGCCAATATGCAAGTCCTTCTTTCCTTTCATGACTTTCTTCAGGCCTCGTTTCATCTGCTCTCGATGCTCCATCTCCTGGAACTCCTCTCTTCCAATCTTGTCTCCTGAGCTGTCCACCATCTTCAGCATGTAGAGAAGCCCAAAGAGCCTTCTTCGTGTCAATGACTTCGTCCCGATGTCTGCTGAGTTGATCTCAGTGGGGATGGCGCTCACCGCCAAGACCTTCTCTTTCTCCTTCTGTTGGATCCAAAGGAGGGCGGCATCCAAATGCCTCACACGGCCAATCCCCTGTCGTTGGACCATGGCTCGCGCTGCAGAGCTGTCGCTCCTCACTTTCATCTCGAGCTCCTCCTTGGTCATCTCCATCCATAGGTGGCGAACAAGTAGTCCGTCTGAGCAGCCACCCACCATTGCCACGAACTCTGATTCTCCCGACGACAGGGAGATGCTCTTCTGGCTCCTGACTCGGGATTCCATCAAGTTGCCGTCCAGGAACACCTGAAAGGACGTGGTACTTTTCCTGTCGTTCTTGTTGCCAGCATAGTCGGCATCGGTCACAATCTCCAGCAGATGCCACTGCTTGTCTTCCACCTCATCAATCTCCCTGGTGTCCATGACCGATTGTCCTTTTGCTCTTGCGCTGAGCCGGATGCCAAATCCCTCGGTGCCCTGGAGGTAGGAGCATACATGCCATGCTGTCTTCCATGCTTGCTGGGTTGGCTTTGCCATGTATCGTGCCATGCTCTGGATTGCGAACTGGGCGTCAGGTCTTTCTCCAGCCATATACATCAGCCTTCCTACCACACTTCTGAACCTTGTCATCTCTGCACCTTGGAGCTCCTCACTTGTGTCCTTCTTGGTGTTCTGCTCCAAAGGTGTCTTGCGGTAGGCCTTCTTGAAGACATCGACGTCCTTTGAGATGCTTTCGTACTGTTTGTAGTCGCACCGGATGTCACATTGTTCTTCCAGCAGCTTGAACTCGCGCTTCAGGTAGTGAAACCTTTCTCCCATGCGGAAGGGTCCTTTGGCCTCCACATTCCATTTCATCGTCTCCTGCAGGAAGTTGACGAAATCCATCAGTGCTCCTTCTCTGCCTACCATGAACACGTCGTCCACATGCACCGTGATGTAGATCTCTCGGTGCTTCATAAGCAGAGTGGGCTGCATGATGTTCTGGCTGAGTCCAAAGGCCTTTACCGTTTCAGCAAACAACTTGAACCATTGCGAGGCAGCTGTTCTCTGACCAGGCAAACACCTGATCAAGCGGTAGATCTTGCCATCAAGTTCAACAAAGGCTCGCTCCTCTTTCGGTTGCTCAGCCATGAGGAATGCATCTTTCATGTCCAGGGTCATTGCTGTGAACTCCTTGAAGACATTCAACATCAGGTGGATGAGGAGTTTTGGCACTACAAGCATTGACGTGGGTGCAAACGTCTGCTCGAAGTCCACGCAGTTCTTCAACTGCCGTGCCACTAGCCGGGCTCTCCTGAACCATCCTCCTTGTTCCACCCGATGCTTCCAGCCGACTACAAACTTCGTTGAGATGATGTATCCTCCTGAGCTCTGGACATCATCTTCATTTGCCTCCTCCATCACTGGGATCTTCTTGAGTCGGCTCACTTCATTTTCCTTGGCCTCCTTGTCCATCAGCATCAAATGCTCCTCACTTGTGATGGGTGGCTCATCTGCTTCATCTGGGGCGTAAAGCAACTCCTCGGTGAGATCTTCTGGAATCCATTCGTCTCCCATCTCCTCATCTCCGTGGGCTTCAATGGCTTGCACACCAGCGTACTGAGGAGGATACAGCCTTGGGATCTTACTTGGTGATGTTGGGACTGTTCTGTCATGCTCATCAGCTTCTCTCTCCCTCACAATCCCAGATGGTTGGCTGACACCCTCACCTCCTTCTGTCTTCTGCTTCTTTTCGCCCTCTTCTTCATCACCTTCAATTTCGCGCTTGTCGTGAGCTCTTCGAGGTGATGTCTCCGCGGCAACCTTCTTTGCTTCTGCGCCTTCTTCCTCATGTTCACCTGCTCTCTTCGTCCTAGGCGTTGTCGAGGTTGGTGCAGGTGTCGCTGGCGCAGCAGTTGGTAGGCTAGGCATACCTGGGGTCGTCGGTTGAGCCTTCGATCCAGGTGCTGGAGTGACAACTCCTGCTGCAACCGCCTCGGTGACTGCCCTCATCTCTTCCTCTGTAGCCTCCATCTCCAGAGTTGGTTGTCTGTATCGTTGGGCTTGTCCACCGTGTTTCATCATGATGCCTTGAGGCGAATAGCTCCACGGGAGACCCTTGGCTATGACCATATCTGTGGCTACAAAGCTCTCCTCCATGGCCAGTCTGTGGATTGTCCTTGACTCAAACGCTCCCTCGGGGGTCAAGAATGACATGGGCGTCGTTCCATTGGTTCTTTCCAACCCAAACTCCTCTGTGGAAGATGTCATTCCCTTTGTATTGAGTCAGCTTGCGAAACATCACACTCTCTCCAAACAATGCAAGCTTCCCCCTGTAGCTGTGTCCTGTTGCCAACTCGTAACTTGTACGACCAATTTTGTCCAGGACTCGAAACCTGTTAACCAGGAATGAGGCGTAGCGGAATGACCAAGGATACATGTGGAAGCTGCCGGCTATCTGAATGAATGCTTTGCCCTCTGCAAATGATCGAAGGCAGTTTGCCAGCTTTCGTACTGTTTGTACTCCACGTTCTGCTTGGCCATTTGACTCATGCTGTCCACTGCCTGTCAACCTGATCTCGCAAGGCAGACCCATCACTGTTCTGACTTGTTGCACTGTCCTGAGCACCTGTCGCATCGCCCTCTCCGAGTCGCCTTGGAACACACATGGATCTCTTGAAGAGTTTTCCAGTGAGAACCTGATGACCTCCTCCGTGACAGTCTTCAAACTTGCAGTTCCTTTAGAGGGTATTGGCACGACGTAGATTGCCTTCGTTTCCGATGAGGTCATGATGAGGCATGTCCCATACTGGTCTGACCTCTCTGCAACCTTGTCAGGTGGCTTCTCATCCAATCGCCTGTCCTCACCGGTGTAGGTGAAGAAGAAGTCCAGCTAGATCACGTTTCGTCCCAGGTCAGGTTTCTCCTCTCTCAGCTTGCGCTTGTCCTCTTTGGCTCGGCTGGCGACACAAGCTTGGCACCATGCTGCATAGGGGATGTGGGTCACAAAGTGTGCCTCTTGATCCTTCAAAGATGGTAGCTTTGGCTGTCCCAGGGTCATGGGCTTTCGCTGCTGCTCTTGGAACAACTTGTTGGCGATGGAAAGCTTCAACTTGTTCTCGATGTTGATCTTGAAAGCCAACAGTCTGTCGAGCAGCCTTCGTTTACTGCCTGTGTGTGGCAGCTCGCGTTCTTTGCAGGCCATCTGCAACTCCTTCACCGACATCTTCTCGGTGTAAATCACCTCATCGAGTTCAATCTCATCTGGCCTGTCAGCCACCACCATCTTCTCGGTGTCTTGAGCCTCCAGCTGCATTTCCAACTCCTCCTCACCTTCTCTCTCGTCCTCTGACCAATCCAATCTTCCTTGAGGCTCTCTCCTTCTCTTCAGGGTATGGCCTGATGGGGACCTCGGAGTTCATCTCCCAGTAGTCCTCCATCTCTGAGGGTGCGAAAAAGCTCAACGTCCTCAGGGGTCCTCCTGTCCCCAATCTCCTGAATGCCGTGGGCCCCAACTCCATGTAGTCGCCGATGTTCTCCACTTGGCTCCACATTCCATCGGCATCTTTCACCAAAGTCATGCGGGCCTTCCAGTGGTCTTCAATCTGGCCTCTTGGATCGGTCATGGAAACTGCCATTGGGTCACTGTAGGCGACGATGCCATTTGGAAGTCTGTGCCATCCAGGTGCCATCTCTAACTCCTCAATATACTTGCTCAATGTCCCCCTCAGCATCAGCACTCTTGCTTCTTGCCTGGTCCCATTGTCCTTCTTCAGGTTGCTTTCGGGGGCAGTGACCACGAAGATGTTGGCTTCGAACTGCAATGAGTTTCGTTCATTTCGAATTGGAACTGACACATCTTTCTCTTCGTTCCTCAGACTCAAGCCATGATGGGTATTGCAAATGCTCCATCCTTTCCGAAGTAGCTTCCCTGCACAAAGGATAGGATGCTGTACGTTGCCAAGGATGAACTCTTCCACCATCTCGATGGTTTCCCTTTGCTATCAACTGTTCGTAGGCGGGCCTTCGTCACCCCATCATGTGCAATGCGTTTTCCTTGAGCATCAATCATCCTGAGCTCTTGTGAACCTGCCTTCCAATGCCCAACATCAGCATAGGCACGTGGCAGCACTGACACATCTGCTCCACTGTCAAGGGTGATCAGGCAGGACTCTTTTGCCTGTCTCCTCATGTCTCACCATCCGCACAAAGAGCTCTTCCTCCTCGTCTTGCAGGTCCATGGCCACAATGGTAGTACCACAGGGGACAGGTACTGCCGGTTCTATGCAGTCCATGAACACCTCCTCATCATCTTCCGTTTCCACGTAGTCCTCGGTCTCCTCCTCAACCAGGACCATACCCACTCGCCATGGGTAGCTCCCATCGTCCTCGGAGTCTCTTGGGGTGGTCAGATCGAAGACCTCAAGCGTCCTCGACTCCGGTGGGGTTTCCAACGTCACCATCTTCACTGCAGCCACTCCAGGCTGTCCTGACGAAGAGCTGGCTCCACCTGGATTGCTCTGGGTGGTAGTCACCTGCTCCTCAACCTGATTCACACTGGCCTTCTTCGACCAGCAGTCTTTCGCATAGTGTCCAATCTTGCCACAGACATGGCAAGCACCAGCTTTTCCTCCTTTTGCACCTCTGTCGGCGCTCTTCCCTTTCTTTCCAAGACCACCTTTCTCCCATAGGCTCTTGCCCTTCTCGTTGCTTCTCCATCTGTCTTCGTCTTTCCTTTATCCTTGCCTTTGGCCTTTCCTTTCATGTCTTTCGTCTTGCCCTTTCCTCCTTTCTTCCCTTTGTCTCCTCTGATGTAGTCCACCTCCATGGGTGTAGCTTCATCCATGCCTGCTCTGGTCGGCAGGCTGAGGCTGTTTGATGAGTCCCATCGTGTTGACAGTGCCTCCAATTCCATCACCTTGTTCTTCACCTGCTCGTAGGTTGTGGTTTCTGTGATCCACAGTTGTAGATGAGCTCGGAGGTGTGGAGGTACAGCTTGTAGGATTGAAGCTACTTTTGCATCATCTGCGTACGCATGCCCCGAAATCCTTTCATACTCATTCACTATGGACTCGTACTGGGGCAGCTGTTCGGAGAAGGTCTTTCCTTCAGCGAACTGTACCCTGGAAAGTTGGGTCAACAGGGCCAGTGCTCGGGCCCTTGTGGCCGGTTGCATTTCTTTCAACAGGCGTTGCCAGGCTTCAAAGCCGTTCTCATCCTTCATGTGGCGCACCAGCTTGAGGGGTCTTCCTCTCAGGTAGGAGCTCAGAACTCCATACAGGCGTACAGCCATGGCCTTCGTTGCATCCGTCATGTCATCGAAGGCGAAATCCCCTCCAAGGTTGTCCTCCACCATCTTCATGCTGTGTGCCATCTGAGGTTCAATCCCCTTCACATAGTTGACGAAGGAGAACTTCCAGTCACCCCACTGCTTGATCTCCTGGTCCCTGGTTTCGGGCTTGAACAAGTCGGGGGTCTTCATGTGCCTCGACCATGTCGTGGTCGTTTGGTTCACAGTCAGGCGGTCGAGGGCTTGTGAAATCATCCTCAAACTCTCCTCTGCCATTGTCCTGAGGTATGGGATGTAGGCCAAATAGGCCTTGGTCGTCACCTTGGGCTCAGTCACGTTCTCCTCGAAGACAAGGCCACCGTAGGAGATCAAACTGATGTAGTCCCAGTGAGCTAGCAGTTCACAAATGTCGTCTGGATCTGTCTGATCCCTGACTCTCTCAACCCTCTTGAGGAATTTCCAGCAAGCCGGGACAGTGACAACCAGCTGCAGGGTTTCCCCTTTCCTCTTTCCTTCCTTCCGTTGTTGTACGATCAGGGACGCTCGGATGTTCCGCTGATCTCGTACCCAGCGCAGCCTTCCCACGTACTCCTCAGTCTCCACCAGGACCGTGTGGATCCTCCTGACTTTCCACTTGTCTCCTCGGGCCACCAGACTTCCACCCTGGTAGTACCTCACCTCCTGGGAGAAGTTGTCTCCTGCTCCTCCTGCAAGGCAGGCCAGGATCAAGAGTTCCAGAATCCAAAAGCTGGCCTCCTTGCTCACCCTGGATCTTCTTCGAGTCGTCGTGGTAGCCCTCGTCGAGGTCGTGGTGCGGTACGTGGGTAGGGAGCGCCGGCGCTTTACGGCCAGCGCTCCGCTACCATGAAAAGCGGGATGCGGACCTTTTCGAGGTAATCTCGGGCCTATACATTTGCGGTTTGTGCGTGTCATCCTTATGCAGTTCATGCATGAGTGGATGTCCTTATGTCTCCTGCATACATTCTATCAAAATGACTAAACTCATGACTCAGAACCAAAAAATTGGCCATGTGGTTAGAACAAAAAAACTACACACGATGAACTCTTTTTAGAACACCGGCACCACCGCGAAGAACATATATACCCATCACTTAGAACACACAAAGATCTGGCTTAAAGATGTTTAGTGTTGCCTCCATGATGTTAAAACCTACATGGAGAGCCTGCGCTTAGAACATACCAAAGTCGCGTGCGAAACTCTCTAGATGGTGATAGTGGAACACCCCCAAGTCTGCAGCCAAAACTTCATTTTCCTCAAGGGTGTGCCCCACCCCCAGAAGTGGTATTGCCTGCCCGATGGGCGCTGCATGTGGCTTGGCCCTCCGCTGAATGCTGAGAAAGAACAAAGAAATATATCACATATGTATGAATACGTGTGAGTGGAGTATATGTATATATATATATATATTCATGACAGCGCAGAACACCAGAACCTCAGTACGGAGAACCACGAGTTTCTTCAAACACTGTGCAGTAGATCCTCTCGAAGAATGCATATTGTGAAGGCATTGAGACATTGAGTGTGGGTGTGTATATATGCATACGTATGCCGCACATGGACAGCTTGCATAGTGAAAGCAAGTCTTTGTGCAAGCAGCTCAAAGCCAAGAACTGCGAACCAGCAGCAGTGCAAGCACACTTAGAACGTCTTGTCGCACATTTATTGACTTCCAAGTATGAACATGATGCTTGAAATCCACACATGTTCTTAGTCTGTGGTTCTCTGTGTGCGGTTTTTGAGTCCACGTTCTAAGTCCACATTGTAATCATGTTCTGAGTCTGGCGCTTAGAACACACATCTTAAAGAAATAGTACATAAATAAAATAAGCATTTAAAAAAGAACTTTGTCCAAATGATGTTCTAAGTGGTTGTCTACCACTATAAACGAAACGGTTCTGTTTGGCTGCCTGAGGTGCTCACTGGCACACAGCCATGCAAAACCAGTCCTCTCTCTGAAGAGGTCTCTCTCAAATGCTGCAATAAGGCATTTCCTGTTGGAGCACATGACATCTTTGCAAGAATCATGACTGCAACTGATGGACAACAAACGTCGCTGTTGGCCAATGAACCTTGGTGCTCATGTGTGATTAGCTGGATATTCTCTCCCACCAAAGCCAATGTGCCCAGAAGCATCTCCTTCACCTCGCTCCATGTCATGGCAACTGGCAGGCCAAAAATCAGCGCATAGATCTGAGGTTTTACCTCCTTCAAGGACTCAAAGCCCCTCAAATCCGTTTCAGCCACAAACCTCATGCAAGTCGAAGATCCACGGATGTGCGAGAAGAGTCTGTTCCTGCTGGCAAATCCAGCCTTGCAGCAACGGCATACAAAGCTAGCCTCCTCCAGGTTCAAAAAAGGGCAACCGTTCTCCAATTTCTCTCGGTATCCTGAAGGCTTGTAGTCATCCTGAAGTTGATCCAGTTCAGGAGAAACCTTGCTGTTGCCAAGAACGGCCCGATCAAAGGCCTGCTCGTTCTCCGGCTTCTGAAAGAAGACCTTGAAGGGGTCAAAATCTGTTGACTCGCCCAAATGGATCTCAACCATCGAAGCTCCATCCACATCACAAGGACCTTCCAATGGAATCTCCCGCACCCAGGGCTCCAGCGACTCCACCCCCTCCTCGACATCACGCGATACTTCAGAGGCTGCAGCCACACACAGCACAGCAGCAACCAACTTGAAGTTGGAGATTCCATAATCCTTGAGGCTGTGGCAAAGCCTCCCAGCAAGCAGCTATCGGATGACAGGAGTCGGTCAATCTTCCATTCAGGGGCTATCTTGCGGATCGTCACTATGACCCCCAGCGGTTTGCCCAAAGGACGCCAGCAATCTTGCGGTGGTTTGCTCACCAATGCCTATCCGCCTGTAAAGACATGTAAAGACCCGGGCCACCGGCGGCCCACGACAGGTGGCCTTGAAATCTCCGTTGGCGCGAAGAAGGCCCAAGATGCTTTCGTCGGAGCCTGGTGGATTGACACTGATGGACGGGACTCGACAGGGCGCGCGCGGCTTTCGTTCGACAGGGCATCGGCCCAGCTCATGACCTGAAGAGGAGAACTTCTCCACTTTAGGGTTGAGACTTCTTTTCGGGGTTCAAAAAAGAAGATGGCATGCGTATATACCAAATTATATACATATAGTATATAGTATAGTACATCAGTGGTTAGGCAGCGGAACAACCTCCCATTCGAGACACTCGCCGGTATAGGGATGCAAACCCCTTGGTCCTGGTATGTGTGCAGCTCCCACTAAACCTCACCACCCCAAGCTTATCCTCAGTTCTTCAACTCATCTTCAACCCCTCTCAATACTTGGTTACTTTCTTCACCCTCCCCACCTTCAACTTTGGTGCCTTGATCTCCTCCAACTTCTCCGGCGAATCCACAAAACAGCTCACCACGAAGAGTTTCCGCCCCGGCGATCGGGCAGCGACCCGAAAGCGCTCCACACAACGCTTCAGGTAGTCGTGGTCCTCGTTTTCTCCAGCGACCGGTGACATCTTTTCGTCCCCCAAATTGGAACCAGAAGGAAGCTTCTAGTAACTAGAAAGCTTTATTGTTACTAGTTACTAGTAGCAATGGCCAGAAGCTCATTTCCACCTCACCCTCCAAGATCAATCGACTCGTGAAACGAAACGACCGCATCAAACCCACAAAATTGCATGGTGCCCACAACCTCACCTGGCGCTTTCGCAAGGGGTCATGGTGCAACCAGGTGAAGCCTTGCCAGCGATTTGGCAGCCGCTGCTCGGCGTAGCGTCGGTGCCCACAGCCAGAGCCTGATGGGTTGACCCCAGAACGTCTGGGGTCACTCCCCGAAACTCCATGGATGGTGATCCACTTGTTGCACAGTGACAGACCTGGAATCCGTGGATTCCTCAAGAACAAA